ACAGTTATCTTTCATTTTTCCTTCAGCTTAATTTATGTGATTGAAATTGAAAACAAGGATTAATTACAGATTTAGTGATTCATCTCCTCATGCTTATTTACCACTTGTCAGTTTTGGGCGTAATTTCACAGCAGCAGCTCCTCTGTTGTTGATGTCTTTCGGGGAAATGGCATTACTTACATGAATCATCTTTTCACTGTGATTAGCTCATACCTCTAACTACTAAAATCACACATTGCCTCATACCAGAATACCCCCCTTGATCCACTAGACATGTTTATCTGGTACTGTGGGTGTTTTCCTCCCTATAAACTTGACAGACATGTGTCTGAGATGGAATACTACTACTGATTGAGAAATCTTCCTCAGTTAGTCAAAATGCCGCAGCCTCTAGAGAAATGACAACCCTGTGATTATTAGTTAGAATCTAGCAGTGTCTTGCTCAGTGTTTTTATCTTTTCTCATGTATTTCTCTTTGTTTTTTCATTTTAGGTGAGATTTGAGGTGGTCACCTCAGAGGCCTCCTACTGCAGGAGTTTGGACATTGTTGTTGAACACTTTGTGAAGTCCAAACAGCTGGGGGCGCTGTTGACTACTCAGGACAGGAACTGGCTGTTTTCCCGGCTGGCAGATGTTCGTGCCATCAGCCACAGGTCAGAAATGTTAAACATTACTTAGAACATTAAAGTTCTTTATCTGTCTGAACCAAGTTTACATTTAAACATATTTATTGGGCTGAATATTTTAGATCATACATGAAACATACATCCACAACCAATCTGTGTTACAAATCTGTGGGAGAAATATAAGCTTAAAATAATTCTTTGTGTTTTTTGTTTTAGTTTTCTATCAAAGCTTGAAGAGAGAGTGGAATCAAACATCATGCAATTTACCGTTTGTGATATCATCGCTCGGCACTGTCAGCGCTTCAAAATGGTTTATGTGCCCTACCTCACCAACCAGTCATATCAGGATGCCACCTACCAGAGACTCATGTAAGTCCTTCAGTCAAGCTTTTGTTTTTTTCTTGACTGCATCATTTTTGTTGAAGGTTTGGTAAAAGACCCAGTGAGGACCACAGCGCCATATACTCTCTCTGACACTAATATCTATCACATTTTAGGCAGTGAAAATTATTTCCAGTTCATAAAAACTTTGAAACTATTGCCTGCATTCTTTTTATCTGTCCATGCATTTAATTTATCTTTTTATTTCAGGAATGAGAATCCAGGGTTCAAGCGGATTGTAGATAAATTGGAGAGGAGTCCTGTTTGTCAGAGGCTTCCTCTTCGTTCCTTCCTTGTCCTTCCTTTCCAAAGGATCACAAGAATTAAGCTGCTGGTCCAGGTGTGTGTGTGTGTGTGTGTGTGTGTGTGTCTTTTCTGACAAAACAGCAAAAGTTAATGGTTCACAACATGTTAGATCCTGCACCCGTTATCTCACTTTAACACACACATGCTGTTTCTGTCCAGAACATTGTAAAGAGAACTCCTGGTACTGCAGAGGCGACTCAGGCCATCAAATCTTTGAAACTTCTGGAAAAGGTACAGCAACATCCCCTTTTCACTGTACATTAATGTATGATCGCAATATTTTAATATTATTTAATGATATCCTGGATAACTCCTTGATGATAAACCTCTTTTCTTTTATTCCTTTCTCTTTTAGCTGATTCAAGAGAGTAACGACAGTATCACTCAGATGAAAAGCATTGAGTCTCTGGTGTCTCTCAGTGCTAAGGTGGACTTTGAGTGCAGGGTAAGTAATGACTATAAAGTATATGCATATATCAATATTGGAAAACATGATTTTGAGCACTAATGAGTAATTTTTTTCAGTATTATCTTAAGGTCCACTTATTAGCTTTCTAATGTATCAGAGGGCCAAAGTACTTTCATGCTCAAAAATAATAATATGCTAACATTATTGTCTTTCTTTTCTGTGTGTGTGCTTCACAGACTCTTCCTCTGATCAGTCAGTCTCGGAGGCTGGTGCGGGAAGGGCCGGTTACTGAACTGATGGATTTCTCTCTGAAGGATACAGAGAGGAAAGTTTATTTGCACCTATTCAACGACTACTTGCTACTTTCATTACAAAAAGAGTGAGTCAACAAACATGTTATTCAATGTTAGAAACATCCTTCTCATTACCATTTGCAACATCCTGTTTTCCTCATATCTTTTATCATCCCCTCGATCTCATCACAGTCTTTCCTTCCGCCGTTTCATTTATCTTTTTTTCTGTCTGCTGCTTCCAGAGGAGGAAGGTTCACAGTAATCGACCACTCTCCAGTGTCAGATCTGCGTGCAGAGAACTGCCGTGTGAAACTTCACTCACTCCAAAAGAACCTGTTTCGGCTGCACATGACACACAGAGCCCTGCTCCTGAGGACTGACACACAGTAAGAGACTGTGACAATGGCTGTGTTGGTTGTCAAATCACAAAGTAGAAAAAGCTGCAGAAGATACAACCATCTTTGCTTTTTGTCTGCTTTAGGAGTGATAAGCTACGTTGGATATCTGCTCTTTCCCGGCCACATACTGAAGTAGATTTTTCTGCTGCACAAGGTGAAGTATGCTGCTTGGTTTAGACGTTGCAGTGTGCTAATTTGTTGGTCATAATCTGTATATGAAATCCCTGCTTAGTTCATTCATTCCCCGTGTAATAAACTTGGAAAGAGTTATTCTATTGTGAGTTTACAATTTAGATTCTGAACACTAAAGATTCATTATAATGTTGCATCCTCAACCACAGGTGCATTGTCACATGGAAGTACAGAATACAGGGAGTGATCTAATGCGTAGTGAGGAATAAAACATTCATGTCAGCCTCATGAGACATTTCTGACAGTGACAAATGCTCACACATGTCAAAAAGAACTGGCTACAAAGCCACTATCACCTGCAATTCAAATAAAATCCAAAGTTAACTCTAACACAATAAATGCAGCTCATTGAAAATTAACTATATAGCCTATATCTGGGGAAATTAGTGCCAGGGGCCTGCAGTGAAGTACCAAAGTCCAAGTCAAACGTTGGCACTTCATGTACACTACCTTTTTAAGCTGAGTATCCCGCAA